CTGGGGTTCAATCCCAGGTAGCCGGCTCAAGGTTGACTCAGCCTTCTATCATTCCAAGGTTGGTAAAATGAGTACCCAGCTTGCTGGGGAGGCAATGTGTAGCCTGCATAATTAACTTGTAAACCACCCAGGGGTGGTATATAAGCAGCACACCTTTTGCTTTTAACCTCACGGGGTGCGTGGGGTTTAGGGTGAAAGCCGACAAGCAGATCGATAACCCTGCATCATGCAATAATCAGAAGAAAATTTCTGCCTAACATTCATATAGATACAGTCTGAAATACAATTTTCTTCCTCTCTATAAAAATAGTATATAGATTTTGGGGATTCATCCTGTCAGTTAGAAAGATTTTTTTTGTTTTAAAGGTATTAAGGATATGACTGTAGTCACAGAGGATAGTAAATTTTTTTTTTTTGACTGATCTTTTAAATTTATTTTATACAAAAAAATACACAGAAGAACACATACATAACCAAAATACAAAAAAATACAAGTAATAGTGCTTATTATAAACTAAATTCTAATGTGCACCCCATACCCACGGGACTCTATTTACTATAATAATTTTTTTCTTACAGATTACCTCTCCAAAATTGTATTGAGTATTCTTTAGAGGCTTTCCCCCTTCCTTTCACTAACACAAATTCCACAAATTTACCCCAAATATCATAGAAATTGTTACATCTTATTTCCCCTCTTTTTATTTTAAGTTCCATAGTCAATTTATCATTTAATGCAATGTCCCATACTTCACAATACCAGTCTTCAATTTTAATATCCTTCTTGTCTTTCCAAAATCTAGCTATTAATATTCTAGCACCTGTCATAAAATTAGTGATTAATTCTTTCGAGTGATGGTCCAGATCTGTATTATCAAAAATTGACAATAAAGCAATTTTGGCATTAAAATCAATATCTTTACCAAATATATCACACATTTCCTTAAAAATCAATTCCCAAAATTTCTTAACCACTTTACATTCCCACCACATATGAAAATACGTACCAATTTCCTCATCACATTTCCAACATGCTTTGGAGTATGTTGGATTTATTATATTCAATTTTACAGGAGTCAAATACCACCTTAGACAGATTTTAAAAAAATTTTCCTTTATTCTTGTTGACATTAATCTTAACACTCTCATCCTCCACATTTTTGTCCAATCCTCTATTTTAATATCTGTTTTTAAATCGTTTTCCCAAATTAATTTTAAACCTTCTATTCCCCATTCTTTTTCCTCTTGTTCCAAAATTATATTATATATTTTACTTACTATTCCTTTCAAAGTTGTATCTTGCATATCTTCATGTGATGACAGAAATTGTTCGTACTTAGTAAGTTCTCTACATTTACCATTAGTTTTCAACCAATCCTTTGTCCAGGTGTCTAACTGAATAAGATTATACCATGATAGTTTATTAGATTGCAGTTTAGACATAATCAACTCCTTCGATCTCATGTTACCCATCCAGTCCTTCAATCTTGCATCCCTTTTATTCTTAAATAATTCTACTAAATCCTTTAAATTTGTAGGAAAGTTTTCTGTCTCAGTCACTAGTTTTAATGGTGAAGTTAAGGGACAAAACTTCTCTTTATATTTATTCCAAATATTTAACAGGTTTCTTAAAAAGGGGTTTTTAATCTGATTTATTGAACTTCTCTTTAGTATATTAAACAAGTATCCTTCAGCATTTCCATTTATTTCTGAAGATTCCATCTCCCACCAAATTAATTTTTCTTTATTGAATATAATATCTCCAATAACTCTTAATTGATTTGCTATATAATAATTTTTAACATTGGGCATACCTAAACCTCCTTTTTTTTGAGCCTTATACCAATATCTTTTATTTATTCTAGATTTTTTGCCTTGATTACAAAATCCATTAATTAATCCCTGCCAATATTTAAAATCCTCTTCTTCTAATCGTATTGGGAGCATCCTAAATAAAAAAGTGATCTTCGGTAATATTTTCATCTTAATTAAAGCGATTCTCCCAAACCATGATAGTTTCAATTTGGCGTACTCTTGCAATTTATCTTTAATTTCATTTTTTAATTTATTAAAATTTTTCTCTTTTAATTTTTGAGTTGTTCTAATTATGTTTATACCTAAATATTTGATAAGATTACACATTTTAACGCTATATTTATTCACAAACATGTCTTGCTCCTGTATAAGGATTGTCACTCTCAAATTTGACCTTCTCAGTCACACTAGACATTGTTCCAAGTCCTCCATACAGAGCGCGTTACCATAATCTTTCGAGACTGAAGGATGCCTAATCTATCCCCACAGCATTCAGGTAAACATATCTGTCCATTGCAATTCCCTGGTTATTTTGCTAGCTGGAAAACTAACAGTAAAGCAAATTAAAAGAGTTGCAGAAAATAGAACTCTTGAAATTACAGTTGGTAATGTATTTGTTGTGCCAGGACTAACTCTCTTAAATAGAGCTGATGACGAGCATTGAGTTAGCAATAGAATTAAAAGATGAAAGAAAAGCATCAATACATATTTCCACACTTTTTACAGAACGAACAGGGAAGTAGTCTGTGTATTAATCAAAGTATCCTACTACACTACATCTCCATGATAGCAGAAGGCTTCACCCGTTGAATATTTGCATGCTATAAGGCTGAAGGGGGGAAAAAACCAACCTCAAACTTATGTATTTTGCATTTCAAGAGCCACATGAGACAGGGAAAGCAGGCTCTCAGGTTTGGTGTTTAAATCTAAAAAGACAGATAGTTAACAAACAAATTGAACAGCAATATGATTCTTTAAAAGTGCCAACTTTTGATATGTAAATATTTATTTGTTCCCTGAAGATCGTAATAGCTAAGCGACAGGTAGAAATTCAACAGCGTGTGCTCTCTCACACAGAACGGGGCATCTGCCCGCGCACGGAAACTACATCAGTTGAATTATCTGCCTGTCGTGCAGCTTTCAGAGGCACACCGAGCCTCGTACACAGCAGTGGAAGCAGCAGGCATAGGCAGTAATGACCACGACAGGAGAGACAAGGGGCATCCTGTTAACAGAGTGCCCAGCGACGCCTTCATCGCCCCAACAACGGCCCCTCATAAACAGGCGAGGCTAATCTCCCTCACGGACCTTTCGGAGGCTGCCTTCTAGCAACAGAAGACACAGAGAGACCCTTCTGAGGCTCAACGGTGCGCACGCGCTCACCGCCCACCCTCCGCCATGACCCCTTTACGGCTTACCTGCATTTTGAATCTTCGCTAAAGTGTTGTTTAAAGGAAAGGTGGGAGGGGGAGGAAGAGAGGAGGGAAACAACGCATGCGCATTCTGCCTCTTAGGTTGAAACCACACTGGTCATAGCGTCCGCGTCACCCAGGAGATGGCGGTTCCAGAGATAAAAAGGAAGAGTAGTTCGCCGTTGGGAATCGGTCGTTTCTTGGTTTATACTGACGTAGTATCTCTACATGGCCAGAAGGGCAGAAGGAAGGCCATACCTGCTCACGATTTTGGCGTAGCTATGACGACAGCCACCCACCAGCAGCATGGCCTACTCCCCTTGTCAACAGCAGAAAATGGAGAGATTTTTCTAAAATGTTAGGTTTCCTTGCCTTGATTTTTCACTTTTTCTGACACTTCTATTCTCAAATATAAATAGTCCAAGACTGCCGTATAACAGTGAGGCTGGGTTCAGTTGAAGGAATGCCTCACAGCAAGCCTACAATGTAGTCCTCTCAGCATTGGCACCATATAGTACATTTTAATTAGTGAAGGTTCATTTGAGAGGAGCGTGCAAGGACCAAAGTGTTAAAATTCTTAATTTCCCCACCTATTTTTGTAGACAACTCTCGGCTGTCCTAGGGGTATTTAAAACGAAGTTCCATGAAATTAGAGGATCTAAATGGAGTCTCATTTTTTCTTATATCTAGGGCCGGAATAGGGCGGGGAAATCCTCGGCCGGAGGAAATAGCGGTGGCCCCCTTTTTGCCGTCCCGCCGTGGCGACGGCCGCCTGGGCGAGCGCTTGCCAGCTGAGCAGACCCTTCGCTATTAGTTTCTCTCTCTTTTTTCTAATTTTATTTTTAAATTAGCTATTCCGTTCTCTCCTCTGAGCATGTGTAGTCTCTCGAATTTGGTGATGGCCGATATCTCTTTCTTTCTTTCTTTCTTTCTTTCTTTCGTTCTTTCTTTCTTTCTTTCTTTCTTTCTTTCTTTCTTTCTTTCTTTCTTTCTTTCTTTCTTTCTTTCTTTCTTTCTTTCTTTCTTAGAATCACAGCATTCCACAATTTTAAAATTATGGGTATATGTAACATATAAAGCTCAATCAAATTTAAAATGTTAAAAAGAGTAGACTATTTTTGACCAGAACTGTTACTTCAGTGTCGTTATCTTGGTCATTTACTAGATTTTTGGTACACGGATGTTGCCCAGGGGACGCTGGGTGTGAATTCGGCGTGGACCCACGCGGATTTTGCTTGCAGTATAGTTACCGTAATTTACATGCACCCAAAAGGATAATTGGCTCCCAACTTTTTAACACTGCCATTAACCACTCAAAATCATTGCCCTTGGATGAAAACAGCTTGGGATACTGAAGACTGGAAGATGAGTGGGTGGGAAAATTTGGTATTCCAATTCCTAGGCTCAGAATTCTGTAATTCAAAAGTGTATGACTTTTGTACCAGGCTCTCACCGAGCAATTAAGAATGCAAAGTAGATCCTACAAGGCTAAGCCTATGACCCTGTTATAGATGGCCAGTATAATCTTACATGTTTTATCAGAAGACAATCCTATTGAATTTATATATTAGTTTTATTTATATGCCACATTTCTCCCAACAAGGGACCCAAAGTGGCTCACAGCATTAAAATTCACACAGTTTTGAAACACAATAAGTTAACTATTAAAAGATAAATTAAACATATGATTTTAAATTACAATTATTTAAAATCCCAACACTCAATTTGAGTGAATGTCCCCTAGTTCTAGTATTGCATGAAAGGGAAAAGAGCTTCCTTCTATCCACTTTATCCATCCCCTGCATAATTTTATATGTCTCAGCCATGTCCTCTCTCAGGCGCCTTTTCTCTAGACTAAAGAGCCCCAAAGGCTGTAGCCTTTCCTCATAAGGGAGGTGCCCCAACCCAGTCATCATATTAATCGCTCTCTTCTGCACCTTTTGCAGTTCCACTATGTCTTTTTTGAGGTGTGGGGACAGAACTGTATGCAATGCTCCAGGTGCGGCCTTACCAGCATTTTGTACAATGGCATTATCATGTTGACTACTTTATTTTCAATTCACTTTTTAAGGATACCGAGCATGGAATTGGCCTTCTTCACTGCCACTGCACTGGGTTGACACTTTCATTGAGCTGTCCACTAGCAAACCAAGATCTCTTTCCTGATGTGTCATGGACAGCTCAGAAGCCATCAGCTGATACATAAAGTTTTCATTTTTTGCCCCATGTGCATTTGTGACGGACACAATGGAACCCTGATTCAAAAGCCAATGGTTGTACAGAAGAGGCAGAACTAAGGAACTATAAGAAGAATGGAAGTCAGTTAAAGATCAGTTAGAGGTTGAGTTAGGGATGAGTTAGGGATGAGTTAGAGTTAGGGACTTCAGTTTGTTTATTTATTGTATTTGTATGCCGCCCATCTAGACATAGTCTACTCTGGGCGGCTCACAACATATACAGTAAAAACAATTTAAAATATACACAAGTTTACATAGATAAAAATAAGGCAATATAAGATATAAATCATAAGTTTACAATTTTAACAATTAAAGTAAAGAGTTCCAAGATGGCATAGATCAAAAGGAAAAAAAGAGTCACTTAATTGACTGAAGGGAAGGCCTGCTTGAATAGCCAAGTTTTCAACTGGCTTTTGAAAACGCCCAGCGAGGGTGCCAGCCGAATTTCGGTAGGGAGGGTGTTCCACAGCTGAGGGGCCACCGCTGAGAAGGCCCGGTTTCTTGTTTTTTCCTTCCGGGCCTCCCTCAGCGTCAGACCCCTCAGCCGTCCCTGCTGGCTATGTCGGGTGATT